CTAAGAACACGACTGGTTACAACGGTCCAAGCTCGTCTAGGATATTTCGTCTGCCTAATGATAGGGAAATGTTGAGACGAAGTTCAGATGGCAGCCTTGGCATTTGTAATAGCTTGAAGCTGGGTGGCCCGGTCGTTATCTTAAAGAAAAAAGTAATGAGAAAAACAACAGATTTTCCTACTTCCTTAAGTACCTTGGTGCTAGCCGTCTTATTGACGTCTGCTTTACCTGGATCTAAGCGGCATCACCAATTACCTCCAGTCAATCAATCTTTTGGCTTTGAGACAGCCATAAGCTTTAGAAGTCAGTCTGAAGACTCAACAGTCCAGCATTGTCGATTACCTTGAACGAAAGCTGCCAACAGTAGGTCGGCATATGCCGATATCGCAGACAACAATTCGAATCAGAAGTAGCAAAGACGAGGGCCATCCGCGGTCGGCGCCCGGTGCTGCGTAGTAAGCCGAACGGTGACCCTCAAGCGCTAGCGGTGGCTTTGCAGCAATCCCACCAAGGGCCAAATCCCGAAAGCACGTCACGAATTCTGTCTACGGGAACGAAACACGGCAATGTCACGCTTGAGCTGCTGCTGCTGCTGCTGCTGCTTATAGCTTCGCCCTTGTTTGGTTAGTGGCTATCTGGTACTATCATGATATTACTCAAAGTGATCCCAGCGGCATGGTGGAGAACATGTGCCACTTTTCAGGACTCCACAGAATGTCAAGGTGGGAAAAGTTGCGCCATTTCGGCTTGGATTATCGTATGGCTGGGTCCAATGTCACCAGACGCAAAAGCCGGGAAATCCCCGGACAAACATGTCCACTTATCCATCGAAAAGACCCCAAACCCTGGCTTTAAGCTTGGTTTGTGTAGTAGCGGGCAGTCGCCGATGCGGAGAGCGCGGGGTAGACCGGAGCAGCCCCGGTCACCCCGCCGGTGGTCTTCCGGCTTGACGATTGGCTCACCACCGTGCTGGTTCACTTGTTTTCACCTACACCAGCACGATCTCACACACAAAGTTGGCTGATTGTGACCGCTATTACGTACCGGGTAAAGTCGAGTCATGAATCCACTCTCCGCAGGTGCCCATCGCATCTTCAAAATAGGACCGATTGACCGTTGCCCATCTCGGGCTCTGCTTCACCGGCGATGACGTTTTCAGTACAATACTCCTGGTCGGTAATCAGCGATCGACGGCCATCATCTTGTCTCGGTCTTTGTTTGATTTGCAGTCGACATATTAAAGTTCTTCCACACTACTGCGTCGTCAATGTCTCGTGGCACTTCATCGGTGCTTTTTGTGATTGCCCTTCGAGATCTCAAGGTGGCAAGGCTGCATCGCATTCATTGAGAAGATGAAGATCGCAGGGTTCTCTCTTGCTGTTGCGCTTGTCAGCACTTCAGCCGCGGCGGAGTCAAATAGCACCGCGCCATCTGAGGTGCCATACTACGGAAGAAGTCCGCCAGTGTACCCATCTCGTAGGTCTTCGTAACCATTAGCAAGACTCAGACGTGTCTAACATGAAGCAGCCATTGGTAATGGCTCGAGCAACTCTGGTTGGGCCGCTGCCTATCGCCATGCCAGAGCATTGGTCTCCCAGCTCACGGTCGAAGAGAAGGCGAATATCACTCGAGGGTGGACAGGGACATGCGTTGGGAATTCCGGCGAAGTTCCCAGACTGGGGATCCCAGCACTGTGCTTTGCTGATGCACCAGACGGGATCCGCGGTCAGGAATTTGTTTCCGCATTCCCGGCCGGAATCCACGTTGCTGCTACCTTTGACAAAGCCCTGTTGTACAAGTACGGCAAGGCACTGGGCGACGAGTACTACGGGAAGGGTATCAACGTCGCTTTAGGGCCGGCTGCTGGGCCTCTCGGGAGGGTCGCTCGTGGTGGGCGCAACTGGGAGGGACTGTCGAGTGACCCTTACCTTGCAGGCGTTGGCATGGGCGCAATTACTCGCGGCATCCAGAATGCCGGCGTTATCGCCACTGCCAAACATTGGCTTTTGAATGAGCAAGAGTATCGCCGTCGGGTATCCGACCTGGGCGAGGCGATCAGTTCAAACGTAGACGACAGAGCACTACACGAACTCTACGTTTGGCCCTTCATGAATTCTCTCAAGGAGGGTGCTGCCTCGGTCATGTGCTCATACCAGAGATCCAATCACTCTTACGGCTGCCAGAACTCTAAACTCTTGAACGGCATATTGAAGACCGAGCTTGGCTTCGAAGGTTTTGTTGTTAGCGATTGGCAGGGCCAAATGGGCGGTGTCGCCTCGGCCAACGCCGGGCTGGACTTAGTGATGCCGGACGAGGGGTTCTGGGGGGACAAGCTGATCGAGGCTGTCAACAATGGTTCTGTGACCGAAGATCGACTCTCCGACATGGCCACGAGGATCCTCGCTGGCTATCACTTCCTTCATCAAGAGCATGCCTTCCCTGCTCCAGCAGTGCACTCGAATCTGCAAAAGGCTTACCCAGTCGATGTCCAGGATGATCACGCTTCTTTGATACGCCAAATCGGAGCAGCCGGCACAGTCTTGGTGAAGAACACCAATCATACGCTTCCGCTCAAGAATCCCAAGTTCCTGTCTATCTATGGCTACGACGCAACGGTCAAGGCGATTCCTTGGGAGAACCCAAGTCGCTATGGCGGTGGTTACGAAGTCAACTTCGGCTGGGAAACATTCAACGGGACCCTAATCACCGGCGGTGGCTCTGGCGGCAGTACTCCCCCATATGTGGTCTCGCCATTTCAGGCGATCCAAGAACGAATTTCCAAGAACCGAGGCATTCTACGATGGGACTTCTACTCTGAAAACCCCTCTCCACCCTACGTCAACTCCGAAGCCTGCCTTGTTTTTATCAACGCGTATGCCTCTGAGAGCTTTGATCGCCTGAGCCTCACGGACGAATTCAGCGACAATCTTGTGCAGAATGTAGCCGCAAACTGTTCAAATACTGTAGTCGTGATCCACTCGGCCGGTAAGTGGAATAAAGCGAGACATATTTACTGCAGGATCCTTTTGGATGCTAATGAATCCCAGGCATTCGTACTGTTGATGCGTGGATCGAACACCCCAACGTCACTGCTGTCCTTTTTGCCGGGCTTCCTGGCCAGGAGAGCGGCCACAGCCTTGTGGACGTACTCTGGGGCGACATCAATCCGTCTGGGAAGCTGCCTTTCACTATTGCCCGGCAGGAGTCGGACTATGGAAGCCATCTTAACTCCAGTGCCTCGGATGACTTCTTCCCTGACAGTGACTTTACCGAAGGCCTGTACATCGATTATCGTTACTTCGATGCACACAACATCACTCCTCGCTATGAGTTTGGCTTTGGCCTCTCATATACCACTTTCAACTTTGCTGACTTGTCCGTTGTGCTCACGGCAGACGCGGATACATCAGAATACCCCGATCCCAATTTGTCGATCGTGCAGGGTGGCCATCCATCACTGTGGGAAAACGTCGCAGTTGCAAAGGTGTCTCTCACTAATACCGGTGACGTGGATGGAGCAGAGGTTGCACAGCTGTACATCGGAGTTCCGGGTGACGACACGCCTATTAGACAGCTTCGCGGCTTCTCCCGCGTCTTTCTTTCTAGGGGGCAGACGCAGTCGGTCGCCTTTGAACTCACCAGACGTGATCTTAGCATCTGGGATGTCGAAGCTCAGCAGTGGCGTTTACGCCGAGGAACTTATAACGTGTGGTCTGGATCATCGAGCAGAAATCTGGTTCTGCAGGATACCATTGAGATTAAGTAGCGTACTATAGTTTACTTGGTAATCAGTCTTTGAGGTAATCTTCTCAATGATTAATGACGTGGTTACTTCATCCCATTCTTGCGTCGTGTCCTGACTCTTTGTCTGATGATCTCGCCGTTAGGAAAGTCTTGCTGCGTGGAGTTCATCTATTAGGTATTGACAGAGACGGTACGATACAATTACACGTATTGACATGATCAGCAAGCCACATGAATGCCTCATCTCCTGCATGCCATCAATGCGACGCCACATAGTTTATTGCAGATACGACCCCCCTCAGCCACGTCCAGCCTAAAGTACTGAGGTAGGTTACATCATGTGCTGACTAAGGCCAACTCATCTCTTTACTCTTCTGCCTCCCATTCCTCATTCTCTTCTTTTCATCACGACAAGCTTCTGCAAGTGCCCTCCGGCGCCACCATAAAGACCTCCTACCTCGACATGCCTTCGAAATCATCTCAGATCAATGTAGATGCGGAGATCGTCTATGAATATCATCGAATGCATATGGCCGTCAGTCCTGCTAAGGCCATCTTCTGCCTTTGTAGTCTCGACACACGAGTAGCTACACGCGCAGCACAGCTTTTCCTCGCTGGTTATGGAGAATATCTCATCTACTCCGGCGGATCAGGGAAACTTACGGCAAATCGTTTTACGAAACCAGAAGCCGAGATATTTGCATCTATTGCCAGGGAGCTAGGGGTTCCGGCCGACAAAATTATCGTGGAGCCAAACTCGAGCAACACTGGCGAAAATGTTCGGTTCACCCATGCCCTTCTAAAAGAACTAGAGCTAGAGGCCACGAGCTTCGTGCTGGTTCAGAAGCCATACATGGAAAGGAGAACATACGCAACCTTCAGCAAACAATGGCCGGACCCCAAAACAGTGTTCACTGTGACAAGCCCTGAACTAGGATTCACCCAATATCCGAATGAGGAAAACCCTCGTGACTTGGTTATTGAAATCATGGTCGGGGACTTGGTGAGAATCCGGGAGTACCCAGCAAAGGGCTTTCAAGTTGAGCAAAGGATTCCTTCCGAGGTTTGGGAGGCAAACCAAAGGCTCATTAACGCTGGCTATGATGGGCATTTACCCTGATTAATGGCCTAATTTGTGGATAGAATCTTGTAAACCATTTTTTATTATTATTGTTCTGTATGGAAAGCTTCTTCCCAGGATACCTTAAATCAATGGCATCCCTCGTTCCAAATGTTCAACATGACTTCCTCGAGTACCTCCTAAGCCTTTTTGCACTCCTCATCCGGGCTTCCAAAGTCCGCCCTTGCTCGTGATGCAATGTCATCGTCAACAAGCACTCTTACGGCAAGCATTGCCATACCCTTAGCGCACGTGAGAGCCGCTTTGTGAGCTTCGTCAGTTGCAGCAGCGGCCGCGAATTTGGGATTGTGGCCTGCCACATCTGGCGAGGTCGGGATGACGAAGGCGCCGTGGAAGCTAGGCACGTGATAAGACACGTTTCCCATATCCGTCGAGGCGTTAAATGGTTTTGCCTGATGAAGCTGTATTGTCTGACCGATCGCGGCCATATCTTCCACATATGTCTTGCACAGGGTGTTATTAGCTCGTAGATTCATGTACGTCGGCGCCCTGTAAACACCGCATCAGCAAAGTCATAAGAATTGCAGCGCTCATAACATTTACACAATGTAGTTGATCTCGCAGCCCGTCGCGGCTGCGCCTGCTTCCAGGCATGCCTTGACCCTGTTCAACAGTGCATCGGCGCGCTCAATTGTTGGGCTGCGGACATTCCAGTTCATGCGGGTATAATCCGTGATGACGTTGGGAACGGTGCCGCCGACTTCGATTACACCATGGACTCTTTCGTCTGACTGAATTTGCTGCCTGAGGAGAGCCACATTGCTGTAGGCTGCTACAGCCGCATCCAACGCGTTCAACCCTTTCCATGGCTCACCTGCTGCATGAGCGGGCTTCCCACGGAATTCAACGCGAAACTTATGGCTTGCAATGAGCTTAAAGCCTGCCAGTCCTGAGGAACCATCTCCACTACCGCCCTGGTGAGCTGCAGTTGGATGCGCCATAATGGCCGCTGCGATATCCTCGGCGGGGTTGAAGGCACCGGCATCAATGAGTTTCGCTTTACCGCCTCCCCCTTCTTCGGCTGGGGTTCCTAGAATGCGTAGACGCCCAGGGATCCTCAAGTCGACGAGTGCGCGAGCAGCCCCCAAGAATGCAGCAATTGAGGACGTTGCAATCAGGTTGTGTCCGCAGGCATGGCCGATGTCTGGTAGAGCATCGTATTCAGCGCAAATAACGACTTGACGGCCGCCACTACCTATTTCGGCCTCGAAGCTCGTTTCGAGGCCATAGGTATGCTTTTTGACAGAGAACCCTTGCTTTTCTAAGTAAGCTGTGAGGGTGTCGTGGGCAAAGAATTCCTTGTATGCAGTTTCCGGATTTGCGTGCAGCTGTTTGTTGATGTCGTTGTGAAGAGAAGAGTCTAGGTCATCGAGGTGTGCGTTGATGATCTTGCGGGCCTGTTCGAAATCAAAAGCCCCCTGCACTGGTTTGGGACCCGGGTTGGCGCTCTGTTGCTCCCCAGCAGCATTAGCGGCGACCGGGATTTGAATAATAGACATGGTGATAGGATTCGGAGCGTGAATCCCTTACTCGCAGCGAAACGATTTCAAGAAATGCCAAAGATTGGCGAAATGTAATTCGAGATGGAGGAGCCTCCTCGATGAATGTAAGATATACTGATCTTCAAAATCATTGACTGCTCACCAACATGTTTTAAAGGTCCAACTCCAACAAATTCATTTGTTCCCGTCAAGACATCTCCTACGCACTGGTGTGGAGAGCTTGCGCTCCGCAGCTGAGACGGGGGTGCCATCCATCGGCAATCGGTGCTTCTAGCCAGCCGACCAGGAGACCCTCCAGTCGCGACAGTTTCCAGATAGGCACGGAAGATAGCCGATGGTCGGCAATTTTGGTTTGTTTCCATTCGATGAGACTTAGCCGCTACTCACCACACGGTATTGCTAATGGCTAAGCTCATTACCTTGCTTTCAATCTGTCTGTCAGCTTTCCTTATCATCCCGTTCTGCTGCTGATATTATGAAATTCACGTTCCACTTCCGTGTTCCCTCGTCGGCTAATTCGATCATTCATGAGTTTCAGCGGCGGCGCGCCGGAGGCACCTCAGTCATATCATCCACAATTTCCACTCGAATTGTCCTCTTTTCCCCAGACGCGCCGACGCAGTAAAGTTGTTCAGTTGGGAGTTCGGTGAACACCCTAGCCCTCGACCTCCACTCAAGTGCTTCAGTTGGAAGTCTCTACTCGCCGATACATCCGACCTCGAATCAGCTGGTTAGACGACTACCAATGAGCGCTTCTCCCTCCGAAGCCGACGGGAGCTCACCCGGCAGCACAAGCTCAGTTTCAGCCGACAATCTCCCCATTATTGCCGATGAACGGCCCCCCCTAGACGCCGCTGGATTTGTCGGTACCACCGCGTCCGCAGCAGCGGCGACGGCGGCGACGGCGGCGCGCACGGGCGAGGGTCGGAGTGGACCACGTTCGAGAAATGGGTGTTGGACTTGCCGCACAAAGAAGGTCAAATGTGATGAGCAGCGGCCAAATTGTCATCGTTGCACACGTCTGCGGCTCCTTTGCGACTATGCACCTCGCGTCAAGCTTACGAAGAGGGGCAAGACACGCAAAGATCGGCTCTTTCCGTCCCACCCCGACTCGTCGTCGTCTTCCTCGTCGGCTGGAGGAGTTGGCACGTCACTCAGCTTGCCGACATGGGTGCAGACAATGTCTCAGCTCGATCAATCCAAGGCTCTATCTCTGTTTAATCCGTCGGCTCCGGGAATGGGGGCTTGCTCACTTGATCTTTCTTCGGCTGATCACGAGGCAATCCGGTACTTTCGCACATCATTCGCTAAACAGAACCACACCAAGAATCCGGACTACTCTCTTTACTCCATCATGTTCGACATTGCCCAGACCGATCCTATGGTCATGCACGTGGTACTTGCCCTTGGGGGCCGGGAGCTGGAATTTCGGCGCAACAAAAATGCGGAAGAGGCGCGTGGCCCAAAAACGCCCATTCAGCATTATTCTTCCGCTCTCCGAATGATGGCCGACACCATCGGAGGTGAGGACAATGGTCAGCTGGATCTTGATGCAGTCTGTACAGGATTGTATCTCATGCTTCTCTATGAACAAAAGTATGGAGATGGAAAGTGCCAGGGCTTGTCCAATCATCTCGTCGGCGCGAGTTTGATATTACAACACCGCTTCAAGAATTTACTGCTTCAATTACCGGCGCCCTCACCGGAGGCGAATCGGAAAAGCTTAGCCCTCACGAGGCGAGGACAAGATGCGAGTGGTTCCCGCCTATCTCTGTACTCGGCAAGAATGCTTGTTTGGATCGCGCTGCATGATGCCGCTGCCGCCTCATACGGCCTTGGCGGACAACTCAACTGCGCCCTCCACAAAATCATGGGTGCCCTCGATGGCCAAGTTAGCAGTGGAATATCCAGTCCATTTCAACCGCTCGACGCCTTCGAGAGATTACACCGTTTCTCTAATCCACTTTACCGGAGTATGTGGGCTGATTCATACCCCCAAGCGGAGCTTCTCGACGACGTGGAGAATAGGAATGTTTATGCTCTTTTGGGAGCATGCGGCCAATTACGCTTTATGATTGCCCAGCTCGCTAATCTCATACATGAAGATGATGCCTCGCAGCAACAGCGCGTCATGGCTGTCGATATGACCATTCAGCAAGTGGGTTGGAAATTCACCGAACTACTAGAGGTCGCAGCAGAGCTTTCCATCAACACGAATAACTCGCATCGGCTAGTAGCCAACATTCGCGGCATTGTACCTCACTATCATGCCGTCGTTCTCGAATTTCTTCGTTTGACGCGATTTGATGCCACGCCAATGCTCTCAGCTCGTCAACGAAACGCTTTGCGAGAAATCATGAATCTGGCTTTCCAGGCCTTCAAGCATGAAGGCGATGAGGCCATGACACGCATCGCGTGGCCACTCTTCATGGTTGCTCTGGAGACAGACGACTTGCTGCACCGCGAATGGGTTATCAGCCGCTTTCAGGCTATGAGTCGGTTCAGTAAGAACCTCGACAGGGCCCATGTCTTTCTCAAGGACATCATAGAGATGCAGAACAATCTTGCGAGACGGGTAGACGTTCGTGAGCGTTTCCAATCCGGCGAAGTGGGCCTCTTCGTTATCTGAGCCACCGGTATGAGTTCGGTGTTTGTCCCGGTTCCCCCAAGCAGGCTTGAGTAGCGTCCCCGGCCGCGATAGCCATGATCCTTCAGAACTAGAGTCCGGCGTGTTTCCCCGCATTGTTGGAACATGACATGGGCCGGCACGGCGGCCATGTGGATCGGCTAATGTCTATGCCCCCAGAGCTGCGTCGGCTATCAGTGACAAGTTGATCAGCCACTAGTCAGAGGCATCGTATTGGAACACGACTTCCGGCCAGAGAGCTGTTAGTTCCGCGATGACTTTACTATCAACCCCACAATATCATCACAAGTGGCCAATTTCGACACTTTCATGAGATTTTGGCCGAGGCCGGACTCCCACACAAGTGAACAGGGCTCGCCAATTGCGTTTAAGCTTGAACTGGTTGAAACGACGAGCTTCCAGAAGACGGCACATAAATAGCATAACCTTGTCCGCTTATCGAACTTGCTTTCTCACTAATTTCACGGAGGCTCTCATCGGAAATCTCCTGCAGAATTGCTTATTCTTCTTTACCGCCCGCAATTCATTCGTCCTTACCTTCAATATGTCAGAGAAAGGTGGCAAGCCTCATCTAGGCCTAGGCCCAGCCGATGAGACATTGAAAGATATTGGCGAAGGCACCACCTCGATCCGAGGTCTGGCTTACAGTGAAGACAAGAGGATTCTCCGAAGGATCGATTTATGGTAATTACGAAGTCCTGAATCAACCACTCCCATGACGAGACATATCCTAATTTCAAGCCACAGTCTTCTACCAGTAATGGCCATGTCATACCTTTTCCAATTTCTTGACAAATCTGCTCTTAGCTACACGGCTATCATGGGGTTGCGGGACGACTTGCATCTAAATGGTTCCGAGTACTCTTGGGCAAGTAGTATCTACTACTTTGGTTACCTAGTTGCCTCGTACCCTGCAGGAGTCATGATGGTCAGGCTTCCTGTCGGTAAGATGATTGCGGTCTCGGTGTGAGCACTTTTCCCTAGTCAACGAAGCTAAGATGCACGACTGACCTGCAAAGTCTTGTTTGGGGAATTGTTCTCATGTTCACTGCGCTTTGCTCCAATGCTAGTGGTTTACTAGCAAACCGAATCATGCTGGGTGTTTCCGAGGCCGCCATCGCGCCAGGCCTCAGTATCGTTATCTCCATGTGGTACAAACGCTCAGAGCAGCCTTTACGACATGGCGCCTGGTTCCTTGGCAACACTGTTGCCGGCATCTTCGGGGGAGTTGTTGCCTATGCTATCGGTCACGTTGATAGTATAGCTCCATGGAAGGTATTTACTTCATTTACAATCCGCCAGTGAATACGTTGTTGATTTATGCGAGTACAGGCCGTCTTTCTTATCTTTGGCGGAATCACTACAGCCTGGTCATTTGCAATCTTTTTCCTCTTACCTGACACGCCAATGAAGGCACGATTTCTCAGCGAAGCCGATCGTATCAAGGCTATTGAGCGTGTCGAGGAAAACCTGACGGGGATCAAAAGTGACACATTCAAGTTGTGTCAGTGCGTGGAGGCCTTGACTGACATCAAGGCTTGGCTACTCTTCGGCATCCAGATCAGCGCCCAGATTGCCAATGGTGGCGTCCATGGATTCGGGTCCATCGTTATTAAAGGAATGGGCTTCAGCACTCTCAACACCCTCCTTGTGCAGATGCTGGGGTCGGTCTTTCAGCTCATATTTGTCTTGATGGCCACTGGAGGAAGCACCTACATCCGCAATAGTCGCACCTATTGGATGGCACTGAACCTTGCCATCTCTATCGCCGGTGCTGCCATGGTTCGCCAGATACAATCAGAACTCAAGTGGGCACGGTTTATGGGGTACTGCCTGACGGTCGCGTACAGTGCCAATTTTCCCATGATCCTGTCCATGTCTTCTGGAAACTTTGGCGGTTTCACCAAAAAGACTACAGTAAATGCTATGGTACGTATGACATTCCCATTGTCAGTGGGTCTGAGACTGACTTGAGTCCAACAGATTTTCATCGCCTACTGTGCTGGTAACATCATCGGGCCGCAACTATTCTTCGAGTGGGAAGCACCGTCTTACAGCTCTGGTTTCTTGGCCATGTTGATATGTTATAGTCTTGGAGTCCTGATGTGCTTCGTCCTTCGTTACTATCTAGTGTGGGAAAATAAGCGACGCGACAGCATTGGAGGGGAGCTTGAAACGGGCGTTGAAAATGATGTGTCTCTGAATCTGCTTGATAAAACGGACAAGGAAATTCCCCAGTTTAGATATGTCTACTAACCATGCGCCATAGGTCCAGGGGTAGGTGTGATATAGACACTGCTGGTAGTTTCGCCAATCTTTGTCCGATTATTAATATCAATTCATGATCAACGAGTTCATAGAATAAAGCATCATGTGCAGACCTTGCGCAATACCTGCGGCCATGAAGAGTCCACCGACAAGACAAATTACTCCAGCTCCCATACAAGCGGTTCCTCGTCCCTCATTGCGCGCCATTTGTTGGTCGCTCTCATGACATCCTCACAGCCCTTGAGTAAAAAGCTCCATTTCTCGACAAACCTTTCTGTGACCTCCCAACCATCAGGATGCCAAGGGTCTGACCAAGCAATGATTCCCGGTTGATTAAGACAGGCATCGCCTTCTTGACAGCCCACTAAGTCAGCACAAAGATCATGCTGACTGTACTGATCACGGAACTTGATAGCGTTATCGCGCATGCCACCCGATGGGAAAATGTCGATCCAACATTCGTGGGGTGTCGAGCTTTGCGTGGGAGTAGGCATCAAAGTCTCTGGCACTTGACAAGGTGTTGGAAATAGTGGTGTTGTGTGAAGGTCCGGTGTGCATGGGCTGGTGAGCAGAGACGTGAGAGATAGGATGTGAATGTTGGTAATGGTTGCCCTGAAGACATTGTAAAATACCAGCGGGATGAGGTGATCCTTATACAGAGGGAACCATGTGGTGGGATTCTGGAAGTAAGGCGGCACACGCTTTCCTGAACGCGATATGCCATTATTGTGGTTGCGTGCAGGTCGCTGTATCTGTGCAAATATCACAAGCCCCTTCGCAGCAACACGTAGGCGAGTTTGGCTCCCATCTCTTTCAGAACGAGGCTTTGAACAGCGGTGTGCTTCAGCTGCAGGCTGTCCTGGTGGAGCCCACTGTATGAAATCTAGACTTGTTCCCGAGCTCAAATTAGGACGTGATTCTTGATGAGAAGACTCATATGACATATCAGCCGTTGATATCTCTGTCTGCCCAATTTGATGCAATTCGAGAGCCTTTCGCTTTCCTGTGAGCCGCGTCAGCGATGTCTCCGTAGTGCTGAGCCTAGTTGGAGCGCCTCATACTGTAGGCTCTGACATTGAGGCGATTTTGTCTCTTGCGTCTTTCCACTCGATCACGAAGACCAGTCCAGTCATCATCCCGGCAATGTGCTTCCGAGGAATGAAGCATGGGTGCCGAGACAATCATTTGTGGGTCCTTTTCCAAAGCATGCATTGCGGAACGTGAGAAGTATGGCGCGGCTGACGCGTCAAGTTCTTTAGTCGACGTATTACCTCCAGATGGAAGGTACAACTCTCGGTCGAAATAATCCGTATAGATAGAAGATGAGTTTCAGTGAAGGACGTTGATGGAATCTCAGACGAAGTTGTTGCTAGATCCTGCTGACTGCCAAGGGTATGTCAAGGGATTGTCCAACTCCTTCATCCTCTGGAAGTGGAGCTCCTGCAATGGGCTTACAAGGCTTTCCCTCTTCCGGACGAACCTCCCAATCAGCCCGAGATGTTCAAGACCAATGAGAGTGTTCTTTTGTGTGGGGTCTCGCCGCTATGGTCGTGGGTGTTTTGATTGGTTTTCCCCATCTTCGTGCCAGGCTCCGATGCCCACGTGGAAGCAATACGTGTACCTCAATATGCCAGCAAGGATCAGGATGTCGTCGGAGAATTTCATCCGAAAAGAAAGGAGGAAAACAAGCTCAGCTTTGGAAACGCACTTTTGCTGTCAGATTGGCTGAGGATGGGACCGCGGCTGGAGTTTTACCAAAGACTCGGCTCTGTGATCTCAGACTGGACGAACAAGCACTTCGCTGTTTCAAGCCATCAACACTCCAATTTCGAGGCTTTGGTAGGTTTGACAGACTCTAGCGAATTTGTAACGTGGTCCTGTAGACTTTGTTTGAAAGAGTAATTCCATACAATGGTTATTGCCTTCTTGACATACGCAAAGCGACTTTATAGGCCGACTGCATTGGCACACGTCCGCGATCTAATCGATGTACTCGGACACTGCATCTATCTTGCGACGTTATTATCCTCAGCCACGTTAACTGCTCCCATAATCTAGTGTGTTTGAGAATCCTGCCGATTCGAGAAAACTTTCCCAGAATCCCATCTTGGTGAAAGAGTTAAGTGATGAAGGGCACTGATTGGTGTCCCAATGGTTGATGGCGAACCACATCCAGCCTTGGGGAGGGAATTGCCACCGCAATGCAATGATTATTTCCAAACTCGACATGGAGCAAGCGCGGCTGAGCATGAGATTCTTTCGTCTTGCATAGCCCGAGTGCTAGGCTGCTAGGATGCGCAGAGTTATTGGCCAGCCAAGCCAGTCTTTCCGCAGCTGACAGCCGCATTGGTATCAGCGTCTTATCTGATCTCGACCATATGTCTCAGTGCTACCGCTTTGCGTCTAGCTGATCTAGTCTCATTTCTTTCACATACCATGCGAGCCCACACCAGTATTCTCCGTGGGGTGGCCGAGAAGTGTGCCTAGCTCGGGACCATGGGCTTGGGATCGGAGGCTGGACTTGTCTGGCTTCGCTTCTGGACCCTCCCGTCAACAAATCTCCCATAGGAACGCAGCGAGCCGGTGCTGCATCCCGAAAAGAGCTGATGAAGCTACATCTAGACCATCTCGTGGGTTGGCCTTGACCCCACCGCCATTGAGTATAATACACTCACGTTGGTCACCTCTTCGAAGCATCGTGTAACACTTACCGGAATCCTGTCCACGACACTCCTTCAATTTGAAATCGTCGCATTCGCGTTTTTTGTTTTCCGCAGTGGCACCTTTTGCTTATCCCCACACTCGCAGGAGTAACTTCGAACCGGTTAAATTGATCGACATTCCATCCAAGACCCGGCCACTTCCTCAATCATGTTGAGATCCATTAGCACCGCCGCAACTTTGCTGGCTCTGCTGTCAACATCTCAAGCCCAAATACCCAAAGTCAATGGTTTCACCTTGGTGTGGTATGACGATTTCAGCGGCAAGGCCAACACAGTTCCAGACCAGAACAACTGGATTATCGACACTGGGACCAGTTATCCCGGCGGCCCAGCGAATTGGGGCACATCGGAAATCCAGTCATACACCAACAGCCCCAACAATATCCGAGTCAATGGCGCTGGGAATCTTCAGATCACCGCCATCAAGAACCCTTCCACGGGAGCATGGACTTCCGGGCGCATTGAGACTCGCAGAGCCAATTTCATGGCGCAGCCAGGGAAAACCATGCGGATCCAGGCTAGTCTGAAAATCCCTAATCTAGGAACCAACGCTGGTATTGGCTACTGGCCCGCGTTCTGGACCCTGGGCGCTGAATATCGTGGCAACTACTGGTAAGCTTTTCAACCCCGGCCTACCCTAGACCTTTAGTCTAACCCATCTTGTTTAGGAACTGGCCGGCAGTTGGTGAGATCGATATCATGGAAAACATCAACAATCTTGACCGCGCTTATGCCGTCTTGCACTGCGGCACCCAGCCTGGTGGCGCTTGCAATGAGCCATCTGGCCTCAGTGGGTTTCGTTCTTGCCCTGTTAGTTCCTGTGCTGGTAACTTTCATACCTTTACCGTAGAGGTCGACAGATCAAAGTCTGTTGAAGCGCTTCGCTGGTATGTGGACGGCGTTCAGTTCCACCAGGTTCTTCAGTCACAAATGCCAGCAGCCACCTGGAAGGGGACTGTACAGAAGCCGCACTTCATTTTACTGAACATGGCTATTGGCGGATCTTTCCCCGACGCCATTTACGGGAAGAAGACACCTATCAGTACCACTTTGTCTGGCGGAACGTACGAAGTTGAATATGTTGCTGTTTATCACACTTGATTATTGTTGAAGCCTAGACTACTCTACGATTTCCTCCCGGATTCTGCACTTATGTTGGTTTTGTTTTACTTGAGAAATCAGGATACCACAAGAGATATCATTCTAGCGTTTTATGTTATCATTGCCAGGTTATACTTTTGTCCTTCTCGAGCTCTTCCCTCGGCCCCGACATGAATTCACAGTTAATGACTGTCCCTTCAGCGAATGAGCACTTACGGGGCAACCTGCTTCGCCAATCGAATACGGAGTTCTGTCTTCAATCACAAAATCGATCTACGACATGGTAACTTCATCCATTTTAGTCCATTTATTATGACCAGTTATGGTGGTCTTGCAGCCGGCGTATTCCGACAGGAGGCACAGCTTGCGCAGGCTCCTCTTCGTGGAAAAGAATGTCATCCTAGCCCTCCGTACATCCTGCTGACGCGATCATATAAGGAAAACGACAAATTCAAGGGCTTAGATAAGCCAGTATCCAAGTGAACACATGCCAAGTTGAAAAGAAAAAAGAAAGCTCATAAATGAATACGACAAAAATCTGCACGGTCCACGCATCATCGCTTGTGACTTTACATGTACGCACCGTTGCCGCAATAACGTGCGACTCTGGCCATTGCAGGACGGTGTGAGGTGTGCCCACTAGCAAAAGACATACACTGTGGTGAGAAGCGTCGATCCAGGAACCGCGGTTGTTCTATGACGACATGCTCGAGCTTGCACTGTGACCACAGATTGAAGTGCGACTAGTGACAACAGCTTCCTTCTGACAACAGGTCCCTTCCTCGCCACCACTACCTTATCATACTTAGCCATGCACTTAAGTAAATGTAGACTACGATCAAGAGCCCTATTTTATGCCTATGATAGTCGCATGAGTCCAGTCAGCAACCACTTTGTGCCCAGCAATCTCTTCAGTATGAAACGCACTGCGATAGCTGCAAACCTTTCCAGTGGAAGTCAAAATGTCAAGAAATCACGGCCGGCAGTACCCGAATATCATTTGACACCCTCGGTAAGGGATGATCACGGCGAAATTGTGTGGCCCGCGCCAGAGAAAAAGATGGAAGCGGCGAGATCCTTCATTCGCGAATGGTATGGTTGAGAAATCCGCGAGCTCAACTGCTGGACTCGAAAATGTGTCGCGTGGTGATTTTCTCTCAGTCTCATACTGATACTCTACTAGTGTTTCTGCCGGAAAGCCCACATTGATTGTCCCGGACAAGGATGCCGACGGCCTCACATCTGGGGTCATCTTGGACCGTACCCTAGTTCTTCTTGGCCTAGATCCATCTCTCATCACTGCGTACTTGCCCCCAAAGGGCCATAACATCCACGACGAAGCGTGCCGGGCAGAGATGACTTCTCTCAAGCCCACCTACATCTTCGTCCTGGACCAAGGCTCTCGTTCTTCGCCACCTCTCATCGACGGCTTCCATCGCGGTATAGTCATTGATCATCACCACGCACTGACAAACGACCACCCAAAAGATGCGTTGCATGTCACGGCCTGCGACTCCCCTCCGGTGGCGACAAGTTCTCTGCTCACGTACCTCATCTGTCGAAGTCTCCACGAGAGCGTGCGAGAAGCTTGCGACTGGCTTTGCGTCATGGGTACCCATGGAGACTTGGGAAATACCTTGAAGTGGGAGCCTCCGTTTCCCGACATGAAGTCCACGTTCAAAACATACACCAAAAAGGCTCTCAACGACGCCGTATCACTCATCAATGCACCGAGACGAACAGCCTCATATGACGTTCCTTCGGCTTGGAAAGCCCTCCGTGCCTCAAATTCTCCAAAAGAGCTGCTGAGCAACAAGTCCCTGCTGGCCGCTAGAGCAGAGGTTAACGCCGAAGTCGAGCGCTGCACTCACACGCCCCCCAAATTTTCCGCCGACGGCCGTATCGCCGTCTTCCGCATCAGCTCAGAGGCCCAAGTCCACCCCGTCATCGCCACACGCTGGGCGGGCCATCTATCCTCATCCAAGCTCGAGGTTGTGTTGGTCGCCAACGAAGGATATCTGCCCGATATGGTCAACTTTTCCTGTCGTGTTCCGCGCTGTGCCCGAGCCAAGGAGCCGCCAGTCAACATCATTGAGGTTTTGCAGGATGTCGCTGCTCGTGCCGAGGACACAACATTGAGGGAGCGGCTAGGCGACTCATTTGCGAGGGGCCATAAGGAAGCCAGCGGCGGCATTGTTCCAAAAGCCGAGTTCGAGGAGTTGATGTCTGTCTTGGAGATTGGCAAGAAAGTTGAACGAGAATCCCCCAAAAAGGGGCAGAAGCCAGGGCAGGCGAATACCTTGTTGAACTATTTTGGAAAGAGTTAGATATGGTGCAAGACTGGGGAACTTTCAGACACCCCTGATCAATTTGTTTATGTTTCGCAGAGCAGACCTTTGTCTCGTGATTCTCAAATTTCTGGACCAACTATACCCCGTACTGCCGCCTTCTGGAGTATCCTACGGTAAAAGCCCTTGTCGGATCATAGAACATAATCTTCAGAGGCTTCCCAAGATTTCCTGGCGCCGGGATTGCGTGTACCTCTATAATGTGCCCGAGGGGCGGCCCTGTTGGCCCGAAAGATGCCCACGTCTCTCCAAATGACGCTGGAGCCAAGGTCGTGGGTACCGTCTGCCCAGGGGCCAAATACATCGCAAACTGATTCGGTATGCCTTGTCTCAAACGCTGATGTTGAATGGGAACCAGTACTGGCCTGTTTGGAAATTCGTCGTCGCTTTCTGCTGGTTGACATCGGTCTTTCCGTCCCGGAAGGACCAGTGTAACACAGCCAAGCTTCCACTCGCCCATGGCTGTTTTAGTCGCTGGTACAAGGATGAGGAAGTTCTGTTGTCTGACTCCGTGTATTATTGGATTTCATGTTGACATGAGATCTCATTATCAAGGAAGCAGACGTATCAGCGACCTCCATTGACTTTATGCTGGAGTGCGTAGGCCATTGATGTGTGTCGCTGAATCATGCTCGTCAGCCTTTAGGCAAGTCATTTCGCCACTGAAACCAGCAGGGCATCTTATTCTGAATCACTATCGTCATTATTTGAGCTCTACATGTTGTTCTGTGAGTTTTATTCCTGCTCGAGTAAGCGGTATCCAGCCCGTTGTGCATAGTTTCCAGCATTTCTTGTTCTCCCGAAATCAAGACAAGTTTCGCGAAGCCTGAATGTGAGTAGGCAGACAGTCGAAACTGCCAAGGATGTGCCATAGTCTGTACTTCGCATTCAATTCCAAGTCATCTCCAGATTACAAGCGACAATGAGTAAATCTTGGTCAGATTTGATAGTTACATGGTTGTCGCAACCCATCAAAACCATTCAGGCAACTCTGCTGGCCTTCCAATTCTGAAGGTGCCCCACACGGGCCACCGCCGAGGTGGACCCCTATCGCCGATCATGAGCGACGTTGCGGATCGCGCATCGGGATCGTCCGCAAGGATCACTCCACGTTCCCAGCTTTGTGTTCTGGGTTCACGGCGTGCGGGGACCCACAGTTTCCGGATCGCTGTACACGGGAACCCTTCGCTGTGTTTCCGTTTCCATCTCCGGCGATACCCCACTCAGCTTTACACTCATGCGCCTGGCTGTGCCCCGGCGATCAGGTCGGTTCCTGCGTCAAATTTGCAGATTCTACACGTAAGAATCATGCAGCTATGGCCCATCAGGTCTATCATGACCTAAAAAAAACTACTCGCCTTTGAACTATAGTCGACTGATTCGGTTTGTTTACAACGGCTCACAGGCGCAATGTCAATCACCATGAATAGGGAGCAAGCAAGTGTACGCAACTCTTGGTCGCCGTGCGCTTAGCACGACGAGCGTTGTCAGATTCCGATCCCCGGGTATACCTGTGCTCAATAATAATAATACATTCACGAAAGCGTATGCTGAATGTCAACCAGCTCTGGGTCCTGTTTGCGTCTTTGAGCCTGTTCGCGTCTTTGCGCCTGTTCCTGATATGTTCCTGTGTTTCTTGCTTTTCTCCTTTCTGTCTTTATGCAGTTGTTGTCTTCCTCGAAGTAAAGCGGTGGCTCCAATCCCGTATCCTTTTGGAAAAACTCCTCTTCACAGGCGCGGGTTCGGGCACCTTTTCAAGCCCGCCCAGATCATCGGACTCGGCCGCATTGTCAGTGGTCACCGATTCGCCCCCAAGCTTTGTCTGGCGGCGCTGCATGAAGGCGGCTCCAGATGAGAATGTCCTCTTGGGCGCGACTGATGCGGGCTGAGTCGCAACTTGTTGCGGTACTAATGGTGGAGATGAGATCCGATTCATTTCCGTCGTTGACACCGGGAAGGTTGATGCACGACTCTGGCAGCTGCTGCCGCTAACAGTACGAGACTGTGCTGGTCTGGAGGTCCCCGGAACAGGAGACGCTGCTGACGATGCCCAGCCTTGGCCATGTCGAAGGGACACCCAGACGGAGGTTACGGTGATGAGAATTCGAGTCGCCTCATCCACAGGGTGAGTCTCTCGCTGTGTCGCGGCGTGGGTTGCTGCTGGCAGCGATGGGATTTCCTTGTCGCCGCTCAAATCCATGCTGAATGGTCGTGTAGGAGGATAACGACCGGAGGATTGTGATACGGTGGTGTAATTATCCAAGATTTCGAGGTTAGCTGGCGTCAAAGTTGCCATTACGGGGTGTCGACGAAGCTGTGGATCGAGGACGCTGAAAGTGAATTTATACTCCGAAGGAGCGGGGGCCGATGCCGCGGTGCATGTGGCCGTGGACAGAGGTCGGGCACTACGTCTGGCCCATCTCGCAATTGTCGTTTGGCCAGCTTCATCAACGTGGACGAAATCGTACGACCCATTGCTTGTTTGAGTAGCAGTCCAAACTGAACCGTCCGCCAAAACAATTTCCGTCTGTTCGCCAGAATCCCTCCGCTCGCCTTCTTTCCGTGACGAGACCGGCGAGATAACGGCCACCAAGTCCCGCTTATCGAGATCTTTGTCGTCCGAGTCAGAATCGTCAGCGTTATTGTCGTAGTCCTCACTCTTGGCCAAGATGAGGCCATTCATGCCCAGCTGTCCCTTGACTCTGAACATCTTGGGAAAACGTCGTGCGAGGCGGGGAAGGATCACTGTTCCAGCGATCATGCTCGAGGGGACGACATCGATGGCAGGCATGGGCCGCTTGTCGTTCGATAGTTGTTGTAGCTGCAGGAGAAGTCGCGGCCGGATGGATACGAAGCGTCTCTGTTTCGTACGAAGCTTTGGAGGAGGGTAGGCCAGCATGTAGTTGGTACATTGCCTTGCAGCTCGCCTTGATCGTTTGGATCTTTTCACAGTGCTCGTATCGCTAATCTCTGATACCAGACTGCCTTCATCTTCGCTCACGCCATCGAGACCATGTATTTCCTCGCCTACAACGGTAGGCTCTTCCTCGAAGCGTACGACGAGGTCCTTTCTTTGGACAAAGTCAGACACCGGTCGGATTCTACGTACTGGGCGCGTAGCAGAGGCGGGCTCTTGTAATGAAAGGCGTCGGTTGATACGTTGTGTCGGCGTCTCGGTTTCATCGGTTGAAAATGATGATCGCTGAAGCGGCGATGCGCCTAGTGAGGAGCGCAGGAGAATATGCCTGCGCGCAGGCTGGTTGCCGCTGGCAGTGGTCTTGTTGGAGTATTCGTGACCATGCAGGCTTGCGCCAGAATGGAGAAACATCGTTGTAGTCTGGAATTTAGTCACACGATGTTGAGGAAATCATTGACGCGACCAGGGCGATTTCCGACTCTAGTCGACGTATGATTTCAAAGGACTATTGCGTTCCAATATTTACCAAATGGAGATGCAGGCAGGAAAGACGGCGTGATTAAATCAACCGACTGGGCGAGGGTTGGATCGTCTTATGCGAGGGGTATAAATCGGGCAAGCTCTCCACTTGCAGCTGGCCAAGGTGGGGTGGGTGCTGATGCTGATGCTGGTAGCGGTGCAGTGCAGCTCGGGTCCTGGGGATTCCGTTCTAAGTGGTTCAATACCGCAAGGTGCGTTACACTGGTCTTGAAGTGTGCTTGACGTGGGATCGATCGTTACAGTGACTGGCAAGTCTGGTCGACACGGCGACGAGTATGATCGATTGCGGCAGAGGCGTTGGGCGAGGCAGACGACAGGACAAAGAATAGAGAGAAATAGGGGACGTCGATGCTGGAGAGCAGGCTGTGTGAGGGAATGAGCGGCCTACAAGTACATCATCTAGCGTCAGCCCAGAAACACTTTCTCTGATGAGGCTCAGGGAGCTATGCTGTATTTGGCGGGGGTTCAGCACAGAAGGCTTTTGAATGGCTTGAGTGGCTTGACTCGTGAGCGGTCAGTGGCCCGAGGACCCAGTTGGCCTTGTATGTCCGTGGGCGCGGGATGGGCTGAGCTGAGCCTGAGGTGACGAGGGCAGAGAGAAAGGCAAAAGGCTTACAAGATGCCTGGAAAAGTAGCGTTCGGTGTCCAATGGGATCGTGTGATGGCGGGAATGATTCTTGGTTAACCCAGGGTGCGTATCCCGAGAAGGAGCAGCGGTGATGGAAATCCGTAAGTCTTCTTGTCTTGCACAAGAGAGGGGAAATCGATGCCCAGTCAAGCTGGAGGAACTGAGCTGAACAGGTCGGGATTCGTGTATCGCGTAACGTCTGACTTTCCGAAGTCAATGCAAAAGTACGTTCGGATCGTTAAGAAAGAAGGCTGCAGCGCAATGTCGTTTGTCTCTCATGGAAATCGTGGAGTAGGTACGCAGAATATACCTGGTTGAGCAAGAAGGAGACTGGAAAGGCTGGCGAGATATGCGGAAGGAGTTTGGCGAGAGGATCTAAGATGCAGGAGAGTGGTTGGAGAAAGGACAAGGAGGAGTAGATGGCCACCAGGGTCCAGATGTATAGATGTAAGTTGAGGGAAAGACGGATGCAAGAGCAGGGTAGCCCAAGGCAAGGGTTGAAGGGTAGCTCGGGGAGCAAGCTGAGGTATCCGAAGAGCAGGTTGAAAAAGACGGTAAGGTGTGTACCCCGTTCGTTTGTGCCGGAATGCGAAGCAGGTACTGTACTGGGTGTACAATAGGTACTTGACAAAGGCGAGGCGAGGGTGTCAAGTGTCTTGGAGCCGATTTGCGAGGTGGAGAGATGGAGGGACGGAGCCGGAACGGATGATATCAGGGCTGATTTGATTTTGGCTTTCTCTCTCAGGTCTCCAGCGAGTGTCGGAAGCGCTGTGGAGGGAGGGGGGGGGGGAGTGCTGATGGAGCGGTGGGTGTTTAGGTACTGTGGGCGAGTGGGTGTGGGCGTGCGAGTGCCGTCTTTTGTGGTCGCCGAGGGGAAAGAGAGGGGAGTCCCTGTCTTTCTTTGAGAGAACGCGATGGCAGACGCAGCGGGAACCTGGACTTGCAGGTGGAATGGTCGCCGTTTGGCTTGGGGGTTCTTCTTTGGTTCGGCGGACTACGTAAAGTATCCGTTCACAGGAGAGTCCAGGTAAGGTACGTACACACTACCAGGTGCGAGGGTCGATGTTAGAGGAGAGCAGAGAAAGGATGTGTGTTGCCTCTGGGGCAATAACAGGGCGAACCGGCCTGCCGTCGGAGAAGAGAAGAAGGACGAGAGAGACGGGGAAGAGAAAGTTGCGAGGTTGGGCGCCGAGAGAGGAACGGAGATGGCAAATGTGCGAGAGAGGGAAGAGGAAGAGAAAGAGAAGATCCGACGGGAGCAGAAGAAGAAGACGAAGTTGAAGAGGGGACTTGAAGTGGATGGAATGGGTACGTATTTTTGGGTGGAAATACAGCGGCGGAGACATGTACTGACTACGTACCTTTTCTTCGGTTTGCAATTCAATTCTCAGGAGGAAGTGACGATGTCCAAATGAACCGGGCTGCCCAGAAGGAGCGTAAGCAGGGGGGGGATGGGGGGAAGGAACCTTAAGGACCCGAATCAAATTATGAGCAGGAGCGGTGCTGCTGCTCGATACGGATACCTACCTTAGCACGCTTAGGTACCTTACCTTATGGACACAGGTACTGACCCTTCTGCCATGGGCGTGACAGGGCACTGAGGTGGGAGGCGAATTCCGGTTGTTTCTGTTGCGAACTTGTGCAACCAAGTACAAATTGGAAGCTGTATGGTACCTAGCTTAACTAGGTACTTAACTTAACCCGGCACGGTCAGTGAGGTAAGTCTGACATATGCGCTGCCAGTGCTCACAGACTCAGTCTCTTCTGACTCTCTTGGGGCAAGAGCGGTGCGTGCTGTCCCGCTTGGAAGTGCACTTGCAAATACGTACTTCTGCAAAGCCCCTCAAAGCGGAAATTCAGGGGAAGTATGGTGGAAGACCAGGAATGTTGGTAATTCGGTAAACCCTCATTGACTCTGACAATCACTTTTTTCCAACTAAATCGAACGACCGCTAACAATGGGGCATCCGCCAACGTGGTGACGACGGCCATATGGTCAAACCCGTGCCGTGGTGCGAACAGGAAAGGCCCCTCCTCCCTACTGTTCCTCTTCTCTGCATCATACTAAAGCACCCTGTTTAGCTGCCTCTGCCATTGACGCGTAACTACCTAGATAGGTATTGCTTTCCATAGGTAGATAGTTAGCACATTCATCAGCCCAGCCTGGCATGGTGGCTTTTGGCTGCCTTGATGAGTGGACATCCAGCTCGGCCGTTTCGTTATGGCGTCGTCTGGCCCAGTCTTTTGCGGAATGTGCTGTGCAATTTTGTGCTGCAACTTCAGCCTGGCTTGCCCAGACCATTACGGAGTTAGTACATAAAAACTGACAAGGTACCGATGCCGCCTCCACATCGTCTTTGCATCGGCTCGTCGGCGAACTGCGAGACCCTAGATCGGACGGGACGGGGTTCCCTCTCCGACCGTATGCCCATTGCACCGCTTCTTCGTGGACCGTTGTTGACGAGCTCCCTGACGGAGGAGGGGCCAGCTCCAGATCAGTGCTGATGGCCACAAGCCTCTCTCTGAGTATCAGCTCCTTCTGTGCGTCTGTCTAGAAACTTGCCTTACTTCTTTGCTGAAATCCTGTATTCAGAGAACACTCCTCTTGCATCTGTGTTGCATAGATGATGGCAGACAGCAAATTGTGTTTGTGTTTGCGTAGTGTTTGATGGGTGTCGCCGGTGAGCATCTTCAGCCTTTCCAGTTTCCCCTCGTCTGAGGCTTGCCGAAAGAACTCTCAATCCCATCACATAACTTTGTCTGTAAAACACGGCTGCCGAGGAGAAGGTGCCCGGAAGGGTGGTTTACAACCACGTCGTCTAGTTTCTCGTCCGGCCAACTGGGGACCACCATGGTAGCGCAGCTATATTCAGTTGGCTCCAGTACCAGTTGCGCGTCTCCTTTCCCCCTCCCGCCGCGGGAAGGGTTATCCCGAGTCCGGCCAAATGAACTGTGGGTTGCTGGTGAACCTCCCGACTAGGGAAGCCAGGGGAACCAACATTTCGGGAATCGTCGATGCGTATTCGATTCGCAAGGCGTTGGTGAGAAGGACGGCGAACAAACACCCCCGACCCCAACTCCGTTCATCCGTCGTTGGTAAGAGAGACGGCCTCATCTCAATCCCGTTGAATACCTACCTAGGTAAAAAGACAGCAGATACTCCGTGTGTCAGGCCACTTGAAGAGACCACAAAGGCGCCGACTTCGAGGGCACATTGTTGGTGTCAGTCAGATGTTCTCTCCGAGACTGACCATCTGGATCACTGGAGCTCAGTCTGCCGCTGAGATCGGGGGCTAGGCTAGTAAAGGGCATGCACACGCCGGCTGCAGTCTCGCGTGGGTGAGGTATGGTGGAGTCGTGCTCGGATTGGACAGACGGCTAACTCGGGTCTCCCTTGCAAGCTAGCTTGGCAGGGTACGAGGGTTCATCTTCCCTCCCAGAAAAGGGGATGCCCACATGCCACAGGACTGGGCATCCCAAGATGCGCAAGCCGTATGTGCAGCTATGTGTACGGGTAGTGCGTCGTGTGCGTTCAGAGGTGGGTAGGTAGACGTGTAGATTGTAGCATCCTTCTCCTTCTCCCTCTTCTTGTTCTTACTGTGCAACTGCCACAGGGTATCTGTTGTGGCGGGTGAATCACACTCATCGGAGCACCTCGTACTCCGTAAACAGTAATCGTAAAATACCTACGCTCGGCGTATACCCAGGCATCCAGGCTTAGCAGTCGTTGATTTGGGCGGGCGATCAACCTGGAACCGTGGTCGAGAACACCGCCCAGAAGTAGGGACGGGTTGCGGAAGACGGGCGCCGTCACAGATGAAGGGTTAGCCTTTCTGGGCGGTTGCAGTCACGGCGTGATACGTCTCGAGCCGATGGAAGCCCTAGATCAGACCGTCCCACGAATCCACGATAGGCGTCCGCACCTTCTGCACCTACTGCACCTGACGAACTCTGAACGCACGCCGAGGCTGCCCTAGCCGTGACACGTTGCAGGCCGACTGCTGTTGCTCAGAAGCAGTGATGTCGGGTCCATGGCATGTGTAAGTCTGTTTGTTTCGTTTCCAGCGCTTGTTTCGCGCTATCGTAACCAAAGCTTCTGGGAGAAACAGAAACTACCCGGAACGCCTACTAAGTGCGCTCAATGTGTCTTTCGGGTCTAACGAGCCCGGCTGGTTGGAACCGTCTGAACAACAATTGTCTGGCCACGCTGTACCTGCACTTGGGCCATGACGTGTTGGGCGGAATAGCTGTTAGGTAGTGTCCCCCGGACGGTAGAGCTGGTTTAGGTGATCAAGACGAGCTCTGGCGCTCTGGTTCTTGAATCTCAACTTTCGACTGAACTGAAAAGGTTGACTAGGAGGAACTACTGCCGCAAATTGTCTTGCCAATGCTGCAGCAAGGTAAGCAGCCGGACCAGATTCAGATACCTACCTACAGTAGGTAGGTAGTGCCTAGATACCGTAGATAATAGACAAGAGCGATAAGTTCGCTCAACTATGTGGGGGTAATTGCTGCATCCTGCGAGATGGTAAAGCCGCATGGCACTCTCGGATTTGGGTCTGCAAGATTGGCGGCAGTGCCTCGGTGTCGATTCGATTCGTTCAGTCGTCGAACAAGATGCCGCAATGCAACACCAAACGCCTCTACATCGATCGTCGAGTAGCAACAGGCCATTCCAAGACAATTCAGATACGGAATAGCGGTGAGATCCAGGGCCACAGGGTACGTATTCGGGTATTGTCTCCGTCGAGTGCCCAAAGGTCCTGCATCGACACCATGAGCTGTGTGACAGTTGCGACATTGTCGCCGGCGAAGTCGCGAATCAGCCCAGGCATCAATCAGCCGGGCGGTGATGATGGGCATGCTGATCACTGAAGCCTGTCAGCTCAGCCCAGCGATTGGATCCCTCGCTATTACGTGTGCCTCACTCGAGATTGCGGATGATGCTCCATGTCATTGTTGGCTTCCGCGAGCAAGTGCGGCTATAAGGTAAGCACCAGGTGCAAAGTACCGCCATGATCTCCATTCTCCGAAACCATGATTTGGGGTCACTCGACAGCACCAAGCGCCCTGTCACTGAGGGATTGGTGTCACAGACAGAGCCAAGGTTCCTGATGAGGTATTCGAAGCAGCTTCTGCCACAGTGCAAAATCCACGCCGTGATACCTAACAACCTTGAATCAAGCAGCGGGCGTTCGTACGCAGTAGCAGTTGCTGCAGAGAGGACTGTGTGGCTTGCAGTGCCCTTTAGCTTCTACTGCGTAAGTGCCTGCCCTGTGAGAACACCATTACCGTTACTTGGAAGTACCTACCTTAAGCAAGGTGTTGCTGTCTGGAACGGGAGCGAAAGCAGTCAACCGGGAAGTGAAGGTCAGGGGTCCAGATGTAATGGCCAATCCGGTGGCTGCCAGCGATGCCGAACGGACGCGGATTGACAGTCTGGTGACAGTTTCTCAAGGGCGAAGGGTCCCCCTGGATGCGAAGCTTAAAGGAAAAGTTGGAAACTGGCTGTGTCTCTTGGTAGTGTCAGCAGCGACGTTCAGGGCCGCCCGCAATGAAGTTGAGTACCTCTCTCTTTCTCTCTCTCTCTCTCTTTCTGAGGTCAGACGAAGATACCTGAGCGTGCTGGAGCTGAGAACAAGGTTGGAGGGGTTCGTCATCCTGCTGTGTTCTGTCGTACTGCGGTAGGTAAGGTAGGTACCTAGTGAGTTCTGTCCTTGAAGGGGAGCAAGGGACGCCATGTGAAACAAAGCAAACAATAACTGCTTAGCCTCTAAACCTTCCCTTTGTCAACCACAGGTCAAGTCCCAGCTCCGGCTGCTCACGGCCGGTTCCGGCTGCGAATTGCCTGTTGCGGTACGGAGTAGGCTTATGTAAACGCAAGACGCACATGACTTTCAGCTTCGGCTCGCAAACATGGAACGTTCACGTACGATGCCTTACCCAAGGTAGGTACTTAGTAGTATCTAGATGGTGAATTTCAACTTTTGGAAAGACCCGAACTGCCTTTGCCTCCTCGGAGAAGTCCTGCGAGGCTGCAAGCTTGAGTGAGGAAAGAAGCGAGGACGGCAGGAAAGCGAGGGCGGAGGAACGGCGCAGTGGTGCTTTCCGCTCCGATGCCGATCTGCCAAAAGAACCGGGGCCGACTTGCCTTGCTGGACGGAATGTCACCTTCCCACCTTGTTTCCCACCTTTGGATCTTGCCCTCGTCCCGCCATGAACATGAACATGTCACCATGTCACCGCGGGATGTCAATGTCCAATGTGTCAGGCACCTCCTCGCAGCCCTAGGTTTCCCTTCCCTCCTTCCTTCCTAACGTCCAAGCACCTACCTCACTCACAGATACCTCAGTACATACCTTATGCAGATGCGCCTGACACGTTATAGGTACCTAAGGGACCGAAGGTAGATGTGAGCGATGGTCTCAGTCACATGCAGCTTGACCCTTTTCCTTTCCCTGCGTTACCTTACCTCCAGATATGGATGGCAACTACCTTACTGCCTAACTTGCATTTGCACATGCTTCAAGGCGCCATCCATCTGAACGACCACTCGACCTTCAAGCGCGAGCTGGGTTGGATCTTGGTAAACGTCAAGTGACAAAAAAGGAATCTGGACCAGCCGTCAGCCCGCCCTCCTCCACCCTTCCGCATACCGTGCGGGCTGGAGTGCAGCGGATCTACCGGGACTTGGCTCATTGGACAAGCTTGAGCCTATTCCAAGCACACAAGTCATGGGAAAATAATCATGGTGGCTGCTTGTCTGCATCCATAGTCTGGTCTTTTTTCTGTTGGACCCTCGTCCAGTCACTTCGGTCTGCACGATGGATAGTTGGCTGCATGTTCATGCCTACCTAGTACTCCGTCCTGGGCGTACTGAGACCACCTTCAGTCAGTCAGCATATGGCGGTCAGCAAATACATCAACAACGGATAATTGATAGATTAGATAAGTACGGATACCTAGACATCAGATTAAGGAGACAGGCCAATATCCAGCCAGCCTCATCCTCCCTTGAACCCATGGCCCGACCCATTCTGCCATTCAAAGGTGGTGCGGCGCACCTTGGTCTTGGCACGCATCCCGCCGCCAAACCTGGACTGGGCTGTGCAGGTTCTTGAGCAATGAGGATCTAATACTCCGTATGGACGAGGTTCTCTTCATTTCACTCTTGTCAAGCTGGAATGCACTCGTTGGAATCTCAGGGGAAGAGAAACACGGGGCGGCAAATTCAGGGGATGAAGCTCTCCTGTAAGAGGTTCCACTTCCCCACTGCCGACGGGTGGCCCTGGACGAGCCCTGTTCAGTGGAACATGGTCCGAGACTTCGCCACACCTTCATCGCACACTGATCCTGATGCGGCCAAAGTCCACCAAACGTGTGCTCACTGCGCCGTGGGCTGAGCGGTCTGGTTGCTTCAAGGGGCTTTCTAAACGGGCTTTCCGCTCTACTTAATGCCCTGGAGCCCTGGACTACAGGCTCTCCACTGCTGCGGAGAGGAACACAGGGGTAAAAGGAGGCTGGAATCGAGAGGGGCAGTCCACTGAGGTGGTTTACGCTAATTACAATCCTGGCAACCAGGTACGGGCGACATGGTCTTGGAGTTTTGAATCCCCGGTCCGTCTTCAAGCCCTGACAGCCCGGTGGACACTGGCATCCGCAATGAACGGCTCGTCCCATGAAGACAGACGCTCGGAACGCTTCGAGAAGAAAGAAAAACAAAAAGGGCTGAAAAAAAATGGAGGAAGAAATTTTCGTCTCGCCCACATCGTCAACGATTAGATGGGATCGAGACCCGCTCGCATTGTACTGACCCCGAACTCCGCCTCGGCGGGATGTCTTCTTAGGTAAAGTCTTTCAAACTGATCAAGCAGGATTACCTACCTCTCCGGCCCTAGGCTCGCTCGTAGACTGCGGTGCACACAGTACGTTAGCCAAAGGGATACTGAACAGAGAGAAGAGAGGAAAAAGGATTAAAAAAAAAAAAAAAAAAGGATTCTTGGTGGTCTGTGCATTGTCGCCGTACACCGAGTCACCGACGGAGCCGGCTCACCGAGGTCACTCGGCGGTTGCAATTGGCCACAGTTGCTCCCGCCCGTCCCGACGCGGCTAAAGCTCCCACTCCGTTGAACCTCGCCTCAAGTCCTCCCGTCCAACGTGACAAACGGCAATGTCAAGGTAAAGGCGACGCCAGCCAAGGGTTCATCCACAACGATCATTACCAACACGGCAGTCAAACTTTGTCTTCCCTCTCAGAGTTTCCCGGCAGTGGAGCTCTTGCCACACCTTTTTTTTCCGTTGTCAACTTGTAGTCGTTACAAGTCCCGCCGCCTTGGCACTTCGCGGACCTTCACTCGCGCCCGGAATCGCGGCATCTCCCGCTCCTCGACATCACCTCGACTTTGCCCGACGTCATCACAATCATGTTCTCCCGCCATGACTCTCAACCCCGCCAGACCTTGATCACCGCTTTCGTCGCCTGGAAGGCCCTCTTGCTGGCCATCGCCCTCGGCAGCGCTGTGGCGCCATCTTACGATACTTCGACGACCTTGATGCTCCAGCGCAATGAGTCCGACATCTCTCTCGTCACCCGCCTGACGCGCTGGGACGCTCTCTACTTCACTCAATCCGCCAGACGCGGCTTCGTGTTCGAACAGGAGTGGGCTTTCAATGCTGGTCTGCCACTCGTCGTCTCGGGCCTGATCCGGGTCGCGCGCCTGCTTGGCTTCGAGGGCGATGAAACCGGAGCGTCAGAGGCTGCCTTCAGCATCATGGTCGCTCACGTAGCTCATCTATTCGCCGCTCTCATGCTGTACGAGCTGACCATCAAGCTCTTTGCTCGACCTCGATTGGCATTCCTGTCCGCCTTGCTCCACATCTTGTCTCCGGCTGGCCTATTCCTTTCGGCACCCTACGCGGAGAGTCTTTGCGCCTTCTTCTCTTTCGCTGGCTACTACGTGCTCGCATCGGCGTCGAACTCCACCAAGGGGTTGTTCCCATGGGTCACAGCTCAGATCTTGGCCGGCGCCATCTTTGGTCTCGCGACGGCCTCTCGGTCAAACGGCCTCCTGAACGGCCTCCCCTTCGCCGTCGAGTGTCTAATGATCCTACCCACGCTGCTGGCCAGCCCTACGAGCTTGAAAAATATTGCGGCTCTGTTCGGTTCTGTCACAGGCGGGCTCCTCGTGGCAACGGGGTCCGTTGTACCACAAGCGCTTGCTTGGCTGCGATACTGTTCCGGCGCATCCGGGGCGCGCGCATGGTGTGAGCGGACCGTGCCCAGCATCTATTCCTTTGTACAGGAACATTACTGGTATGTACTCTTTGCGCTTCACCGTCGTTTTCTCTTTGAGGAATGAAAATTTCTCTCCAGCCCTACACTAGCCATGGGTCTGGTCATCGTTGAGTCACCCCTCCGCCCCTCTCTCTGCTTCCCTCCCTCGGGCCCCGTCAAGTGCCTTGGGTCGGTACTTGCGGAGATTTGAGGTGGGATCTGGGTTTTGTGGGATCGTGAATGTCATCACTTGGTTCCTCTAGATTCTGTTCTTGCTTGCTAATCTTGGATCACGCAGGGGCGTTGGCTTGTTCCGTTATTGGACGCTATCGAACGTTCCTCTGTTCATTCTTGCCGCGCCGGTGCTGGGACTGCTCATGGTGTCCGGGTGGGAAGTCATCAACAGGCCTTCGGGGTTGGCGCGGAGTCCGACGGCGGAGAAGCAGCGACAAGGGCAGAGTGGCACGAAGTCGGTTTTAGTAGGTTCCATGGCCGCTGCCCAACTTCTGCTTGCCGCCTTGGCGATCACGACGTACCATGTCCAGATCATCACCAGGATCGCGTCCGGGTATGCGGTGTGGTACTGGTGGGTTGCCGGCTGTCTGCTGGACCACGGCGCCAACGGCAAGAGACGGGACGTTGGCGGCAAAGTTGTCACTTTTTCGGTAATGTACGCCATGATTCAGGGTGTGTTGTTTTCGTCGTTTCTACCGCCTGCTTGAGATACCCCGGGTTCTGCCGCTGCGGCGCATGGATCTCAGTTCAACCTGTTCATCATAATGAATAAACTTTCCTTCTGACATCGAGTCGCATGACGGGAGTGCCTTCTGATTTTAACGCCCTTTACTGCATATGGGATGATGACCAAGAATGTCGGCCACTTCGGATAGCCTGGAAAGTTCATGGACCCTTATCTGGACCCTAGCTCTTGCTGGCAGGTAAGCCAAGCAAACCTAGAGCCTTGCGTATGAGGTGTAGTCGAAGCATTGTGACTCAAGCATGAAGAGTGATGTCATGCTTCCCAAGGTCGGTTGACGTCTCTGGCATGTTCATGTCATCTACATGCCAACAAAATTTGTCTTTCAGGGTAATTCAGGGTCTATGATCGTGACGAAGGGCTAATATGGGATGACCACCGATGAGTAGTCCATCATCCAACTGACCCAAGTCACGAGGCACCTTGTAATGACTTGACCTGTTTTATGCCTCTTTCTAGCATCAAAGTAAGTACGAGGGTAGGTCGGCAGATTGCAGTAGGGGTGGCCTCTTGAGCCTGGTTCAATCGTGGCCTATCAAAATGTTCTGAAATCATCAAATGTGAACACCTAAGTCTGATTTTGCTGCTTGTAAAGTTCCGACTAGATGGTCCGTCGATCAAATAGTCTAAGAGAGTCTTAGTTGAGAGCGCAGCACACTATCAGTTATGATGATCTACCCAGCTGGATTCCACGAGCTTGAAATTTGGCCGGATGCCTTGTTGTCAAAATGCCGCATACAGTCGGCGGCGTGGCGAATATCATGGAGACTTGCACACTCTTGAAGCAAGGAGTCTCGGCATTGTAATTGGTGGCCTGTCGTTCTTCATTCGAGTTGTTGGGCAACTCATCACAATCGCAAGATAACAAGCAGGGAATAAAGCCTTTAGTGCGTAGTTCTTTTGATGCCTGAGCTAGATGTTCATTCTGGGTAGAAGAATGACAAAGCCATGATAGCTTTCATATCCCGATGGGTTTTTCGTAATAACTAGGCATAATTAGCATGGATTCATTCGCTCTTGAGACTGAGAACGGACAAAGACTTATAAGCCCGCATTCATGAGCGTGCATCGCCATATCTCCAACCTTCGACCCCCATCCAGTACTCATCTCCTAGCTCAGACTCGTATCGATGACGGTCATCTGTGATGTTAGGTGCGTTCTCTAATAGAACAATGATTAGTACATGTGTGTGAGTATATGAACGAGGCGGGCGGTGCATGTACTAACAGAAAAGCTACCCTCATGAGGACGGCTCAGATCCAATGACAACCCCTCTACTGAAGAGCCTTTTTCTTAACCTGCATGAGGTACGCCGAGGTGCGAGCAACCCTCTCCGTCTTGAATGCGAATTCTTTTCTGAAGCGAGCTTTCTTGCGCTCGATGTCACGGTCTCGGCGGAGGACGTCATCGAAATGGTGCGCTTCCAGCCAAAGGGGCAGGAAAAAGGACATGGAATCAATAAGGGGATCACCCCGGCCGACGACGAACTTGACGATTCGGATCTCCTCATCATCCTCACTGACCGCTGCATCGTTGCAGAAAATGTGCTTGGAACGGTCAGCAACGTAACCTTCGTTACTGGCTAGATAGTTTTCCATAGCCTGGATTCGATAAGTAGGGTTGAAGAAGCCTGTCATCTGAAGGAAGATGCAGAGCTCGTTACCGGTCATGGGAAGAGCCTGCGGATGATTGCCGACGACCAGGCGGATAGCGAAGGCAATACGCTGTTTGGGATCGTTGACTGCGGAGTTGATGACCTCGTACTTGGAGCCGTCGGGATTCTGACGAGAGTAGCACACGACGGAGGCGCCGAAGTGATCAGGGAGCGGTCCTGGGAATTCCAAAGGCAGGTGGCCATGGCCATCCTCAGACTGCAAGTCGCCGATGAGTTCCTCATCTTCCTGTCCACTGATTAGCCCGTCTGCGTGTTTCTTATCACAAGCCAATTCATTGCTCACCTCGTCCGGGAAGCAGGGCGCCCAGTCCCCGTGCCAGATGAAGCATTTCTCAACTTCCCACTTGACCTTGGCTTTGGCGCAGTTGGTAATCACATATGCAAAGTCGGAGGTGGGTGTGGTTGGGGGAGGGTAGAGAGAGCCTGGGGTGGCCATTGTTCCTCTCTATTCACCTACGTATACGTGCGCGATATGTTAGAAGCCATTGTCTTCAAGCTGGGCTCCTGGTTTCTTTGACCTGCGTTCACACAAGTTTCATTGTCTGGCTTTGGAAAGCCATGACCATACTTATGTAACACCAACAACCAACAGCTGAATGAACATGTACTTTTATCATTGGTCTATAGCTAATATCTAAAGGTACAGGAAGGCCTGGCTGGGGGTATAGGGTCTAAAGTAGGTAAGAGTAGGTCATTAGCAGGACGAGTAGGCTCTAAAGTTGCCAAACCGTCTTCATTAGGATTAGATGTGAACCTGGATGTAGAGTCCACGGATAACGGACACTTTGTGGAACTCGTCACTTAGTCGCTGTCTTCGTCCCGGCCAGGCCATACGAGCTTTCTCCTGATGACGGCACGGGCACAGCAAAAGCCAACAAACAGCCAAACGGCGACCAGCGCAATGGTGAACACCGTGGCTAACCACAGCAAGCCCTCGTTGCCAAAAGCCTCGCCTATGCGGATAGTGGCAATGGTGAAGCCGACGTTTGGGAATACGAAACTCCACCAGCTGAGGTGAAAGGAGTGATCGGGCATCCCGAACATCGTAGAGAGACAGGCGGAAGAGAAGAACCAGAACGACAGGCCCCACAGAAAGACGGCGGTGAAGAGGGCGACGGCCCGTACGGCGAAAGCGACGGTGCCTGGGTTCTCCATGCCGTACAGATAAGCCGCATCGCGGAGGGAATCAGAGATGATGGATCCCTCGGAGGCGATGAGCCGGGGCACGTTGGCGCCCATGGCTACCAAGGCTGCAGCGGTGAAACTCGGCGGCCCGACTGCGATGAACATTCCGGGGCGTTGGACGGGGAGGCCAATGGTCATGAGCCTGGACAGATACGTCGCGTACATGAAAGCTGAGACGAGGAAACCCAGCCCCTGAGCCGCGAGACCTGCGCCTAGCATAGCAGCGGCTTGGTTTGGCGGCTGCGAGGAGGCCATGAAGCCAGCTAGCGTACCTGATAGCATGACGGGAAAGATGGGCAGGATCCAGGCCGGAGTCATGCTATCTAGTGACAGTCTTCTGCGGCCGGTGAAGAGGAGGTGGTACATGCCGACGGAGGCGAAGAAGGTGACCACGAGGTAGATCCAGAAGCACACTCTCAAGGTGACGATGAGCCATGGACCGCATTTCGGAACGGCGTAGTGTTGAATGTTGGAAAGGGCGGCAGCGATGGATAGGAAGAAGGTTGGGATAAAGAGGGATTCTGAAGGGTGCGTGATGGCTTTTGCTGGCGTCTTTCGGAAGAAGGAGAAGCGGAGGCAAAGGGCCAACGTGATGAGGAAGATGAGAACAATGTCGAGAAGGAAGACGATGAGGCCGATCGTGTCTAGCCCGCGGAAGCGATGGGGAGTCTCGGCGAGGAGGAGGGCGATGCCGCCTGTTGACATGCTGTGTGGGAGGTGTCAGTGACAGTGAGATGCAGGGGGTGAGGGGGCTAGGCCGGTAAGCCAGCGTGGGAAGCCGTCGGCTCGGGACGCGGCATGAGACATACGTTAGGGTGTACCACGCAAAAGTGAAATGATGTATGCGTTCGCGCAGAGAGACCTTTTCCAGAAGGGTGTTGGTTCTGCTCTTTGTGCGGGAGAGGGTGGCCATGAGGGCATTCTGAGGCGGCTCGTCTGAGATTTGGCCCTCGTCCCTGGTCTGGGTCGAGGCCTTGGAGACGACATCTGCGGTTGTGTGTGAGTACATGAGACTGAGTATGAGAGTGAGAGGATCGGACTGACTTGTGGGTTCGTCGGCGGCAGCCATTATGATGTATTCGACATGAGTAAACTGAGCTTTTTTGAGGTTCTCTTGATGAGATTGATGAGTTGTGAGAATCGACTGATTATTTCTTTGATGCAACCTTTGGACGCGATTCCTTGTTCGAGGTTCCTGGCGCTCAGATGATCGACGTCACTGTATTTTACGTAGTAGCGACCGATGGGGATGGCCCTACATTAAATTTAGAGTCTGCAGCAGATGAGTCAGCCAACCTTTGCTGCGATTCCAGCCTGCGGGTCCCGCCAACGAGTCGGTACTGGAGTGATGAGAAAAGGGGACGGTCGTATGATTTGAGTAGTTTTGGGGCCTTTGTTCTGGGATTCAACCCGGCTGGTCACTGCTCGGCAGGAGTAACGAGCCATACGTAAGGCAAGAGAGGATGAACAGCGGTCTGGAAAATTCTTGATCGGCAGGGCCGAATTGAGGCCGGGCAACGGTTCGATACGGAGGCGGCGAGCTAGGAAGGTACTGCCGGCGTGGCGCCGTGCCATCGGGTCTTGGGGGATAGGCCAATATCGTCGTGTATCTCAGCTCCAACATATGAAAAGGCCGGGAGGGGACGGTCTCATTTCATCTTTGGTACTAGTAGAGACTTTGCCTTTTTCTAAGTCTCCCATCACGAATGGCCGTCCATAGATGCGAAGTAAGTATAGTAGGTAATAGGTAATAGTTTAGGCTGTCCGTCTTTGAAGACCACGTGAGTTGGGACGTTCCTCGCATGAACAGCCTTGACCTTGCGTGTTGGCAGAGGCGAAATTGTCATGCAGGGGCACAGTGGCCATCAAATGCTTAAAATCTGGAGCATTCGGCGTTTGTCGTGACTTGATCAACAAGGGACGATAATCGACCGGACACATTGTGCCTGCTCAGCTCCTAGACCATGAAGGCTGAGGGAGCGACAGCAAAATCTTGACGCGCATGCTGGAAGTCTTGTCCCAAGGTCCCAAGGAAAATGTCGTGTGGATAGGGCTAAGGGATGGATGAGTCCAGGCCCTGAATTGATGGTTTGCAGGACGCAGGCAGACGAGACACAACGTGGTCGCGAATTTATGTGACAGACTCGGGAGTTCAGACTCAAAGATGGAATCAATCACTGTGAGAGTGAAACACGGCTGCTTCTGGTAGCTCAAGCGTGGTGAGAGTGAGCTCGTAGTGATGGAGTGGATGATTGCGTCGTCCGAGTGCCGCCTTCGGCGAGCTGGAAGAGAAAAGGAGCGCATTGACCTGGCCAATGTCTATGATGCTCACAGCAGTAGCAGCAAGAGCCAGAAGGGCAGCGAGGACGGATAGATGTGGCGCGAATGGCCTGCAGACGGACAGGCCTAGTTCGGGCCGGGAGCACTCGGCCGGTTCCCCGCCGTGCCCGCCTGTGGGCAGATATCGTCTGGTCGAGCATGACTAATGAGCGGATGGGCATGCGAGAAGTTGGTGAGTGGTGCTTGGCTGCTCCTCGATTCCAGGCTGTTGGCCGCGAAGCGGTGCCGATACTCGGTATGTTCGTGGGCATGTCAGGTTGGTTGATGCTTGCCTACCGATTGGTGCAGGTGAATTTCGACGAGGATAGTCACGTAGACATGGGTAGCAATGCAGGTTGCCGTCACGATGGCAGCATGTTGGAACGCGTGGTTTGTGCTTTTTTGCAGGGTCGCAGCCGTATCCGTAACGTGAGAAAGATGGCGGCGACGTGTTGGTGTTGGTGAGGTTGACTATGATTGACGGTGTCGGAGAGGTCGATGAGCATGATGGGAGATGGCAGAGTGCGGATACTTGAGTTGGAATAGGTGTACGGAGTAATTACAGATCAAATATTGAGGAGCTGTAATAAGGTCTTGAAGTAGGTAGGTGAGGTGCTCCGTAAACAGGATGCTGTGACATGTGAGCAATCAGGTTATGCGTCTCTTTTCTCCTCTGAAGTAGCGCAAGTGCAGCGAGGCAATATCGAGTCCACCAGTCAGTCCTGACTGGACATGCTGCGGCACAGTCTGCATACGTAAGTCAGCCGATGAGATGGACTTGAGGCGTCGCGATTGTGTTGGTAAGAGAAGTTCGTTTGGTGATGGTTGAATTTGTGTTGATTGTGTCCTGATGGTTTCGAGAAGTAGTTCCAGGCTTGAGTCAAGGGACAAGATACATGTCGAGACTTGGAGGCTGAAAGAGGGGCCATTCGGGGTCCTTTTCCCCGCTCAGATGGTCCTCTACGCAGTCACTCAGTGCACCTTAGGCAAGGTACCTAGAGGTAAGTACGGATAGGTAAGGTAGCTACTAAGGTAAGTAAATCGCGGCAAGCGCTGGGATGCAGCTGTCACCGAGAGAGGAAGCCAAAGTGGAGACCTTCCGCTTACCTAAGGCACCAGGAACAGCGAGGCAAGGCAAGGCTGCCAAGGGTGCGTAATAAGGTCCTTTGAGATTGGAAGGTCTTCTCACATCAGATGTATCCCCACACCAGCTTTGGCACTAGAGATACCTACCTCACTTGAGAGCTCACCCTCCAGGCTCTCTCCTCGCCGGCTCTCCCCAGCAAAGGTGAGGCCCAGGCTGCTGTTATGCTGCATCATCACTCTCCCGCTGCGTCCATACCGAGTAAACACCTGCCTACCTTACGCATAGGTAGGTACCTAGGTGAGGTAGGTAGTCTTCCTCACTGCTTGACTGCGAATGCTGCAAGGCCGCCGACCGCATACCGTCACCCGTTCCCCGGTGAAGTACGTGCCCGCCTCTGCTGCCTCTCCCGCTCCGACCACAGCTGCACCCGCTGCACCTGCATCCTGTCTGCGTCTGCATCTGTCTCTTTTTTAATTTTCTTATTTCCCTTCTCCTTCTTCCTCTTCCTCTTCCTCCTCCTCCTCTTCCGCTCCAGACTGCTTGGAAATGGGGAATTAAAAGATTGCATTACCATCCAACACCCGTTATTTGTTGTTCTTGTCGTGCTTCTTCTTCTTCTTCTTCTTCTCCTCCTCTTCAAATTGCCCCTTGTCCCAGTAGGTATACTTTGCGGTGCTCATATCCCCACGCGCCAAACACTGTACTGGGACAGCCAAACGGGGGTTCTGCGGAGACACGAGACCCAGACAGCATCATCGTCCATTATTCATCATTGGTTCAACTTCCAACAAAACGACGCAATTGATCACCATTGATAGACGACAACCATACCCAGCGGCCATCAG